GAGAGAGAGAGAGAGAGAGATTGCAAAAAATACATTATTTTCTAGCGATTAAATTGAAAGCACTTGCGATTCATTTAAGTATTAAATTTGTGATAAATTGAGCAAAAATTTTGGGCACAAAAAATAACTACTCGTAAAATGTATATACGATTTCATTATAACATTTTTTATATGAAATAAAAAACACAATTTTCTCAAACACTCATTAATTCATTCACTCATTTTGTATTCAGAAACAATTTTTTATCATTTAAATAACAAATTTATAATGGGATTGAATGGGAAGTCATATTAAAGTCATAAAATGCACAGTTTTTTATGTTGCATAACATTTTCATTCATAAACCAAATTAAGTGAATGAAAAATATGAAAATTAATAATAATTATACAAATTATTTACAGATATATAACTAGCACTTCATAAAAGCAATCCCTTTATTATTAACCTTTCATTATAATAAACAAGATATATAATTAACTAACTCTAATCAGCTAATTATAAACATGCACATTTGAATAACTATGTATTAAAATACATTATTAATTACTAACAATTAGTTTTAATAATATGTAAAAATCTGTTATTACAACAAAACAAATCAAATACAGTTCACTATAACGGGAGTGCATTATATTATAAAAACAATTTTACCATCAAACAAAAAGCTAATCTAATTTAAATTATAGTTTTGTACTGACTTTTAAGGCAATAATATTTTTCATACAAACAAAATACTATATCATTGTATGAAATATAATAAATCTGTTTGTAATAAATACATAAATTAATTCGACATTTAAATAAATGAGAAATAAAATATATGGTAATTATATTTTGACTATTTTTGGGGGCGATTATTACCCACCAGGACTACAGGGGGTATTAATTACCACAAACAAAAACCATTAATATAAATTCATTGAAACTCAAAATTTAATAATAAAGATAAAATACTATTTAATGGGTTAACTATAATCTAATTTATAACTAAAATCTATGTTTAAAACATAAATAATATTAATTTCATTTCAACAAAAAAAAACAAATTAAAATTAAAACTTAAGTGAAAAATAAGTGTTTGATTGTAGTAAACGTATAGTAAGATTGCAAACAAAATATATTATAATAAATTAATATCAAATCAAATGTTGAGAGAGAGAGACTTACTGTACAGTATATACACATAAAAGCAGACATAATAATACAAAATTACGATAAGATCTATAAATTATATTAATTTTTCGTTTCATAATATTCGCAATAATAAGTTAGTATAAATGTTTAGAAAGTTTTTGAATGAAATCATTCAAAATTTTTTCATTAAAATCTGTTTCGAGAGATATATTACTAGAAATATATTTGCATTCAGTATTTTTGCCCCCGATTTCTGTTCCCTTTATATGTTTGCTGAAATATAAATGGTTTTTATTGATTTATATTTAGTTAATAAGTTTGATATTTAGTTTTGTAGTAATTTTTCATTGGTTTTGATTTATTTATTTTATAAATAAATATTTTTATACTGATATACATATCTATACCTCTGTATTCGTGGCCCCCTTTAGCGATATATTTTATTATTGATATTTAAGTAATAATTTTTATAATATTTATATACCTGTATATATTTAATCTATGTATTCATATACATAAGTCATGAATAGCTAATGCAGTCAATTAAATCCGAGGCAAACATTTTTCGGTCTGTCTATCAATTAAAATGATTGATAAGTATTAATAATAATCATTCATAATATGGTTAATATCATTACATAATACATAGCACTGGTATGTCCTGAAAGTATATTTGACCAAAATATTTTACATACATGTGCTCTCTCTCTCTCTCTCTCTCTCTCTCTCAACATTTGATTTGATATTAATTTATTATAATATATTTTGTTTGCAATCTTACTATACGTTTACTACAATCAAACACTTATTTTTCACTTAAGTTTTAATTTTAATTTGTTTTTTTTTGTTGAAATGAAATTAATATTATTTATGTTTTAAACATAGATTTTAGTTATAAATTAGATTATAGTTAACCCATTAAATAGTATTTTATATTTATTATTAAATTTTGAGTTTCAATGAATTTATATTAATGGTTTTTGTTTGTGGTAATTAATACCCCCTGTAGTCCTGGTGGGTAATAATCGCCCCCAAAAATAGTCAAAATATAATTACCATATATTTTATTTCTCATTTATTTAAATGTCGAATTAATTTATGTATTTATTACAAACAGATTTATTATATTTCATACAATGATATAGTATTTTGTTTGTATGAAAAATATTATTGCCTTAAAAGTCAGTACAAAACTATAATTTAAATTAGATTAGCTTTTTGTTTGATGGTAAAATTGTTTTTATAATATAATGCACTCCCGTTATAGTGAACTGTATTTGATTTGTTTTGTTGTAATAACAGATTTTTACATATTATTAAAACTAATTGTTAGTAATTAATAATGTATTTTAATACATAGTTATTCAAATGTGCATGTTTATAATTAGCTGATTAGAGTTAGTTAATTATATATCTTGTTTATTATAATGAAAGGTTAATAATAAAGGGATTGCTTTTATGAAGTGCTAGTTATATATCTGTAAATAATTTGTATAATTATTATTAATTTTCATATTTTTCATTCACTTAATTTGGTTTATGAATGAAAATGTTATGCAACATAAAAAACTGTGCATTTTATGACTTTAATATGACTTCCCATTCAATCCCATTATAAATTTGTTATTTAAATGATAAAAAATTGTTTCTGAATACAAAATGAGTGAATGAATTAATGAGTGTTTGAGAAAATTGTGTTTTTTATTTCATATAAAAAATGTTATAATGAAATCGTATATACATTTTACGAGTAGTTATTTTTTGTGCCCAAAATTTTTGCTCAATTTATCACAAATTTAATACTTAAATGAATCGCAAGTGCTTTCAATTTAATCGCTAGAAAAATAATGTATTTTTTGCAGTCTCTCTCTCTCTCTCTCTCTCTCTCGAAAATTTGTGTAGTTTTTGAAAATACTATTAATTTTTATTAATTATTATTCACTTAATTATACAACCCATACATCCCTTTACTCTCCAATGCCCTCCCATTCCCGACACTACTGTACACTACAAACCCCCACAAGAATTGTATATTAAATTATATATAATAAATTAGACACAAAAAGGTTGTTTTTGTTCACTTCAATTTTATCGTTATGTTTTATTCAGTAAATTATGGTTTTAAACCATAAGAGCGTAAAAAATTTTAAATAATGTTTTTTGGCTTATATTCTGTTAGTGTTATTCCTATAGGAAATTATTTATTGTTTAAATTTATTTATGATTTTATTATGTTTTGCTTTTTTTCACTGAATTTATTGCTCATATATTTTACGATAGATTTAGGATAACAATAAAAATGTTTGTTTTTTGTTGTTGTTTTATATCAAGATATACAGTGATATACTGTTGTATTTATTTTATTAATTACCAAATAAGCACAATAGAGGTTAATTAGTACAGTATATATAAATAATTGCAATCTTAGTGTACACTAAACATGATATTCATTATATAATAAACAATAACAGAGTAATAATCACAGCATATATTGTTTCTATGGTTTAACAAATGTATTGCTCGACTGGTAATTGATTTTCATCGCAAACATCTCAAGACTTACATAAGTTTTTGTGTTTTATTTTTGCTGTGCATTACTTGTTATTATCAATAATATATTTATTACTAAATATAATTATTAAATTATATTTCATATATTATTTTGTTGATTGCAAAGTGCACTCAAAATATTACCCAACAATAGCCTACCGGAGCAGTCAGTAGAGCCCAAACCAATACAGTATACACACGGAGATTGCAAATACCACCTCCGGTGCCTTTTTTATCCATTAGTGCTCATTAGTATAGCGATTGCCATATACTTCATGATTGTATACATACATAAAGCTATGGTATGATAGATATATTATATAACTTATATGTAATATCAATATAAATCTTTGCACATTTCTTATGACCTGTTTATTGCATTTTTTGCACTCATCTGTTCGGTCGATATTTCACGATATATTATATTTAATTTAAGTACTTATGAGTTATTGGCTGCGAGTTTGAGCTTTTGATGTGTGTATTCACACTTGTATTGCAAATCAAATTTCTTGACGCTGTTTAACATCCCTTTCAATCGTTTTCCCTCTATATATG